CTAGAAGTTTGTCCCATTATGTATGGGCTTCCCTCTTCAAACTAGGAGTACTTAGAATGCTTAGTTTAAAATGGGAAATTTAGAAATTAGTAGATTGGTATATTCTTTTGATCATCCTCTGTAGTGCTAGTGAAGTCTCCTGTTCTACCCACATCGATGTGGTTCTTGTCACTTTTGTCATTTATTTGCATTTGTTTGTGTGCCTCATCACTTTTTTGTGTCTGACCCTTTGTGACCCCAGTCTGTCAGGCTCCTCTGTCCATGGGATCCTCCAGGCAAAATTACTGGAGCAGGTTTCTAAGCCCTCCTCCAGGGATCTTCCTGATCCAGGGATTTATCCCATGTCTCTTGCATCTCTGCATTGGCAGCTGGATTCTTTACCACTTGAGACACCTGGGAAGTCCAAACTATCCTTAAGGCACATATTATTTCTGCTCCCAACTTACAATGAGGAATTTGAATCTCAAATATATGAAGTTTTTTGCTTCAGTAATATCAGCTGAATCTGAATCCTGCCTTCAAAGCAGTATTGGGAAAACCCACCTTTCCTCCTGGGCTTTTCTTTTCTGTGTGTCTCCTCCACCTCACACCACTCTCACCCCTCATTTCAGACATTTCTGGCCACCAAATGTGTGGGCTTGCCCCCCGACCAAGTCCTGCAACACCGTATGAATATACCACAATTTCCATCATTCTAATTCAGTTCTGAGACTATCTACCTGGACATTGTGTCAGATCAACAGATTAAGAGCTCAATCCCATATGCCCGCTTCCATTCTACTGCAGATGCCAGTCCCAAGGCTTCCTACAACTTCGGTCTGATTGGGTTACAGACTGGAGACTCTTAGAACCTCCCTCGGGTTCTATTTAAAGGCTGGAGTAGCTCACAGAACTCAGGGAAACACTTATTTCCCAGTTTATTGAAGAATATGATAAAGGATACAGATGAACAGCCTGATAAAGAGATATATAGGGCAAAGTCTGGGAGTCTCTGGCACAAGAGAGTCTGTCCCCATAGCATCTGGGGGCATGTCGCCCTTTCTATGTGTTTGTCAACCTGGAAGCCCCTGAAAACCCATAATATCAGCATTTTATGGAGGCTTCCCCACACAGTCATGATTGATCTTTAATCCACTTTCAGTCCTTCTCCCTTCTCTAGAGAGTGAAAATTTCAAGCTTCTAATCACTTGGATTGTGGCTCGGTAGTAAAGAATCTGCCTGCAATTCAGGAGATGCAGGAGATATGAGTTCAATTCCTGGGCAAAGAGTCAGACATGACTAAGCAACTAAATACACAGACAGACAGACACACACACATATACTCTATTATCCCACAAAAGCCAACATGATTTTCCTATCTCTCTGGTTTATTTGCCTAGTCACTTTGCTATCACTTTCTTAAGGTTTTGAAACAGTAAGTTGGGCTTCTGCATCTGCATTCTTCTTCCATCCCCCACTCCACACCCTTCTTTTTTGGCTACTTTAACATACCCCAGATGGGCCAACATTCTGCTATTGCTTCTGTGCTCTGGCAAGAACTAGAGCAAACTAATATTCTTCAAATTGAATGGATGGCTTTCTGGGAAATGGTGGATATTCTCTTTAATAGAGATGGGTGAGCTAGGAAAGAAAAAAGGAAGCCGTGATGAAAGACGTTTATCCCATGAAATGCAAAGAACATCAAAAAAGAACTGGCTGATGAGGCAATGTTAGATGGCTAATGTGAGAACAATATGATCAACAATCAATAGCATAAAAGGAAGAGGCCAGCAAGTATATCCCAGTAAAAGAGAAAAGGAAGAAATAATGGAAAGGGACTTTGATGACCTCATTTATAGTTCAGTTTTTGCTACTGGTTTGAAATATGGGGAAAATAGTCATACTTGCTTGTATATACTTAACTACAAAACAAAAACAAAATAAATCATATTAACAGTGATCCCTGTCTGCATATAACACAAATGCTGTGAGAACAAATTTGATTGTGTAATTGAATGAAAGATTTCCTGTAAATATTGATAGGTGTTGGACATGGGATGAGTAGGTGAGATTTCTAAGATTTCTAAGATTCTTTAAAGTTCCTGTGTGTCTGTATAAAAGACAAATTGTACCATGGTTATGTAGGGGATTTGAATAATTAATACACAGAAAGAATTTATCATCTGGTTCTTAATAAAACTTTATATAATTAATAAACTATGAATGAGGAGAACCATCCCAATGCTCTTATAGAACATGGAGCTTGGCTGGCAGTCTAATGCAGGCATTGCTTCTAATTCATTCTTCAATGAAATAAGGCAATCATCTATGATGGGCAGTTTGTTCTTGGAGAAAGTGAATAGAAGGACCATGGCACACAAGACACAGTGGGTGAAAGGAGTTTCCGACACTGGACTGAACACAGGGACAAACAAGTTAAATGGTGCATTCTGAGTGATGAAGTTTCCCAGTCTTCTTCCCAGACTCTGACCTCAGAGTGCTGGCAACTAGGTATATAAATTAGGTTACAATTAGTTGGAATTTATTCTAGATATACTGAAAACCAGGAGACTATATCTACCTAAACTTACACTTTGGGATAATCTAGTGAAAAGCTGGTTACATCATTGCCCTACAGTGCAGTCCACAAGTGAGCAGGGGAAGTTTCCATTTAGGTTTCAGTGCTTCATTCTTCACCATGAAAGCATAGTGAAGAAGAGTCACCTATCTGATGGAGGTATCAAGAGTTCCAGAACAAACAGGCAAACAACAAGCTGAGATAATAGAGATGATATGAGAACTAAGGAGAAATAAATATCACAGAAATTTATAAATTTGAATCAAAGCAAAATGAGACAAAAGCCATGACAAAGAAATTAAACTTCATTGCCCCCACTACCAGTAAACAAAGAGAAATGAATGATACAGAAAAAGAACACAAGAATGAATTCATGGAAAACAAGAATATGACAGTTGACAGAAGGGTGAGAAGATAAAGAGCAAAAAGTAGAGAAACACAGCATGGTCTTTGTGGTCCTGAGAACTCCCTAAAGACAGATACAAAAAAAAAAAAAAAAAGACTCAGATATAGATGATGATGTACCTGTTCAAAAATTTTTAGAAAATAACCAAATTCTTTCATTAAATTGTATGTCTATCTTCCCTCTTCAAAAAAATATTTACTGGGATTTAACAACTTTGTCAAAGAGCTAGTACAGCTGTCCCTCGGGTTCTACAGGGAATTATTTCCATGACCTCCTTCCTCCATACCAGAATCTGCAGATGCTCAAGTCTCTTCTGGGTTTCCCTAGTGGCTCAGATGGTAGAGTCTTCCTACAATGCAGAAGACTGGGGTTCGATCCCTGGGTTGGGAAAATCCCCTGGACAGAGGAGCCTGGCAGGCTATAGTCCATGGGGTTGCAAAGAGTTGGGCAAGACTGAGAGACTAATGCTTTCACTTTTCAAGTCTCTTTTATAAAGTGGTACAGTATTTGTCTATAACCTATGTTCATTCTCTTGTCTACTGCAAATCACCTCTAGATTACTTACAATACCTAATATAATGTAAATGCTATATAGTTAGCTAAAAATACAATATAAATGCTATGCAAGCAGTTGCCCTGGAGGCAAACTCAAGCTTTGCTTTGTGGTACTTTTTGGAATTTTCTTTTATTGAATATTTTTGATGTGCAGTTGGTTGAATCCTTAGATGTGGAATCTGCTGATATGAAGGCCTGGATATAATATCCTAGAGCTACTATGTTAGACAATGTGAAAAATTCTAATTACAACTTATCCCTTGCCTTAATAATATAATAATTGTTCCAGCTGACATTTTATTTTAGCTGAAAACTTTATTAATTTGTTATTGGTTTCTAATTGTTTTTAATAGTGTCTTGAACGTTATCAGCAGATCACTGTTAGGTGTAAACGATAGTGGAAAAACTTGCTCAGTTTTCTTATACAAATCTCTCCATACATACTGTTTACACAATAGAATCGTTTCTTTTGCACATACTGATCACAGATGAGTAACTGTTCTTTTTGAGTGAATCTGTGGTATATATTTAAGTGTTCTGCTTGTGTACTTGGTTTAGATTATCTGAATGTATAATATATTGCCTCTCATCTTTAGTTATCACCCAAACATTTTGATTAATCCCAAATATTTTATTCAAAAATCTCTAATAAAAGGTCAAATTGTACTATATATTTATTTGCATAGCTGTTGCTTAGAACACCCTAAGGATGGAAACATTGATTTACTTCACATTCTCAGTCCCTAGGGTGGTATCTAACCCCAAAAGTGCGGTTAAGTGCATGTGTCTGTGATACACTGATGAATAAAAGTCATGTCTTAGACACCAGGGACTCATGGAATGCACCAAACCATAGTACACAAGAATGTTAGGAAAAAATAGCAAAGTCAACACACCCTACTGGGGTTATTGATATAAGAAAGCTCTAAGGAATTTTTATGTTTTTTATATTAGATTTAACTGAGAATGACAAAGAATTGAGATCTAAAATGAAGCAAAAATTCTATCATGGATGAAGTGAATCTTAATCATTGGGGGTGAAGTACAATTATCAAAGAAACTGGCATTGCATATCTAAGATTCTAGTATTCAAAATTGTTTAGATTTTTAAAGTTATTGTGAATGGAAGAGGGGCAAAAAGTCAAGTACCTACATTTTTCTTGTGTTGCACATTATTCACGGGAATTGAGCTTCCTCTTATAGAATTATGGAAGAAGCACCAAACAGTATTTCTTTGCACATACTACGGTTTCATAGTCAAAACTACCCTTCTTAGTGGACAATTGCAAACCAGAAACCCACACATTGTCCTTATTTTCTTTATCCATTGTGTGTTTAAATTAAAAAATGGGCCACCACAACTTAACTATGACTCTAAAACATGCTTTTAATCTTTGAGGCTTTAGATCCTACCAAAAGACAGGACATCCTCCAAAAACACATACACAAACAAACAGTAATAGCAATAACAAAACAAATTACCTTGCGCTATGTAAGGTGTAGTTTCCTCTTTCGGAGGGATATTTGTGGGTCGTGGTGTGGGGGCAGGAGGTCTGTTCATAATGAATGAACGACTTCCAATTTTTTTCTTTATACTCCTATTGGCCAGTATTGTGTCATATTCACTGTCATCAATCTCAGCAAAAGTGTATGGGTCTTCCTCCTCTTCCTGATCCTTTTCATCTTCTTTCTTCTCTTCTTCGGAATCACTTCCTGTTTCATATCTTGCACTGAAATCACACCAACTTTGACTTCTTTCCATTTGGCCTTCCAACAGTTTCCCTGCTTATAAAATATTTGAATGGTAGTTATTTATATTTTATACAACATTATTGGTGTCCATCTGTCAAACGTCCCCCCCCAAATAATTTGTATATTACTGTATAAATTCCAAAAAGAGAAAAGTGAATCATGTAATTTACTAACATATTCTCCTTCAGTCTGTAATTGTCAGCTTCTTAGAATAAGTTTGTTAAAGACATGGAATTCTTTGAAAACATACAAATAGGCATATAACTACTTTCCACATAGTTTAACGATTTAGCATCAGGAAATCAAATCATAAAACTAAGCCTCAAATATCAAGTACTTTGCAAGCCCGTGTTTGTCAAGCCTAGTGTTCTCAAATTTTTAAAAAAAGTTTGAAGTCATTTTACCTTTTATAAGGATTGAACCAGGTATTTTGTCTAAAATCGATTTCTCTGAAAAGGACAGAGGGGAATAGCCAAAAGCTCCATTGTTTAGCTTCTTATACTAAGTCTCAAGCTGGCTCTCTTGATTTCTATAGGTCAACATGAACCTCCTTCCTTGATAAACGATAATGAAAGTCGAGTTCATGAAATAAAAGATGGCATAGAAAATCAATGGCTTGAAGATTAATTTTCCAAGAATTAATCTTTTATGGTTAATAAATAGTCTTTATTCAGTAGTTTTTTTATGGTTTTCATATTCAGCAAAATCTTTACATACTTTTATAAGAACATATTAAAATATTCTAGCAGCAGTTTATTTGGAAGACAAAGATACTATATACTGTGATCAATTAATAAGTTTGAAGAGAATTTTGATGGTTCTCTCTGCCAGACGATGAGAAAAATTTTTTAAATGTGTTCTTTTGACAAGTGTTAAAGTATTAATGAAATCAACAAAAATGGAAATTATTTCATTTATTGACTGAAAAATTGTTAATTCTCTGTGTTGTTCTGAGATTCATGCTCATGAACTAAGGAAGAATTAGTCTCCTTTCTGTTTAGTAAGAATCTGATAAAAAATTTTTAGCTTACTTAATGGATATTTTAGTGGGAAAACTTAGGAGGGAGGGAGAAACAGAAACTGGTAAGAGCAGAATAAAAAGGTATTATTATAAGAAGATTCAGCAACTGTTTTGAGTAGGTTTATGAGGTGAGACCAAAGGAGAGCCCGAGATCACCTCCCTGCTGAGTCTTAGCTTAGTTAGTTTAACCCAAGAAGTATGAATGCTAACATGCCTGGCATTAACTTTAAAATCTCCAAGACTTTCCTTTTCCCTTGTGAATAATATGGTTTTGAGATTCTGACTTCATGACTTCTGTTTCACTGACAGCATCCTAGGTGAAACCAGATTAAGTGTGTGGGAAACACGCGTACAGTGTTTCATTTTTAGCGGAATGTGTCAACTATCTTACTTTTATGAACTGATTTCCTGAGCTGTTAACTCTTTTTGTTTCTCCACCTACCTCCTTTCTCAACTCTTTCTAAAGTTAGGCTTGCACTAGAAAGAAAACATTTCACTTTTCACTTTCCAGTGTATCAGATTATACTTTTCAAGTTGGAGTTGGATCTGAGTTTTCTCAAATCAGATTGCACACTAGTAAATAATGATAAAAATATTTCACTCCTATAATCCAACTTTTGAAATAATTGGGAAAGAATGGAAAACAAAGATAAGAATCCTAAAAGCCCAGGAAACCTGTCCATGGAAGAATTTGACACATTCTAATTACAAGCTCTAGGGTCTTGGATCTAAGTCAAAGTGAAAGTCACTCAGTTGTGTCCACCTCTTTGCTACCCTATGGACTATACAGTCCATGGAATTCTCCAGGACAGAATACTGGAGTGGGTAGCTATTTCCTTCTTCAGGGGATCTTCCTAACCCAGGGATTGAAACCAGGTCTCCCGCATTGCAGGTGGATTCTTTTACCAGTTGAGCCAGCAGGGAAGCCCAAGAATACTGGAGTGGTAGGTTATCATTCTCCAGCAGATCTTCCCAACCCAGGAATTGAACCAGGGTCTCCTGCATTGCAGGTGGATTCTTTACTAGTTGAGCTACCAGGGAAGCCCAAATCAAAGGGGGATCATAATGATTGTTGCCTTGAAAGTTTGCTGTGAAGATACAAAGAGACAGGATGTCAGTTATAAACTGAAAAGTGTTCTATGTGACTGTTTTCTCCAACGAATATGTTCATGAATCCATCATAAGGAATTTGATGCTTAGGGCATTCATGAGGTGGCTTCTGTTTTGCAGTGACTTGAAGGCAGGAAAAAACTTGTATGGAACAACTCCTGAAGCTATCACTAGCTAAAGTCAAAGAACATATACAGTCTCCAGCGAAAAATAAGTGGGAGCTTCTAGTCTTATTTTCAAAGACCTCAGTCAAAGAATTTTAAGAAAAAGTACTGGCATTTTACTTTTAATTCACTTCCAATATTAGCCCCATGAAAAAATATGATATTAAAAGTGTGCTCAGTCACTCTGTTTTGTCCGACTCTGCAACCCCATGGACTGTATGTAGCTTGCCAGGCTCCTGTCTCCATGATATTTCCCAGTCAAGAATACTGGAAAGGGCCGCCATTTCCTACTGTAATTAAAAGTAACACTGCATTGAAAAATGTAATAATCTGGTTTTTAAATAACAGGACTGAGTTTTTGTATGGTGTTGCTTTTTATATTTGGTACTTTTCAGAAGATATATTAGTCAACACTATACTTGTGGGCCTAGATATCTGGTGAAAATTACTGTTTGTGGAATAATTTTTAACCTCCTAACCAACATACCATATATGGAAATTCACACTAGAAAAAACAGGATTTAAAATTTTATTTAAGTTATTTAGCTCCCTTTAAAAAGTAGCTAAAAATTAACTCCTTTATTAGCTTTAACCTGATGTAAGACAACCTTGTTTTCTTACTAACTGATTTTAACAACTACATAAAACTATTCACATCTATAAAAGGGAGAAAAATACACCAAAATTTTGTTGTCAGGGCTATATTCAGTGGGGTCGCAAAGAGTCAGACATGATTGAGTGACTGAGCATGCACGCAAGCAAGCACATACTAATTTACATCTCTCCCCCCATTCCCAATATTGATATAGCTACCTCCTTGATCTATCTCAGCAGTCTATAAGAGCTCAGCACATACCAGGTAATCAATATGTGTTTGTTGAATGAGTGAATGAATTGAGAAAGTACCCACTAGGTTTCCCATACTTTTCATTAAGAAGTATTTTCCATCTCTTATAAAGCACACAATCTTAGTAAGGGTTTATGTTGATTAACTTGAACCTTTATAGAGATAATGCCTTCAAGGACACAAAAGCTGAATTTCATGGTTTCAAAATTCACTTTTAAAAAATAGTCTTTAAAGACTTTACAGCCTTCTAGGACTTGACAGGAGAAGGCAATGGCACCCCACTCCAGTACTCTTGCCTGGAAAATCCCATGTATGGAGGAGCCTGGCAGGCTGCAGTCCATGGGGTCGCGAAGAGTCGGACACGACTGAGCAACTTCACTTTCACTTTTCACTTTCATGCATTGGAGAAGGAAATGGCAACCCACTCCAGTGTTCTTGCCTGGAGAATCCCAGGGACGGGGGAGCCTGGTGGGCTGCCGTCTATGGGGCTGCACAGAGTCGGACACGACTGAAGTGACTTTGCAGCAGCAGGAGCAGCAGGACTTGACAACTCAAGTACAGTGACAAACGGGGCTTTAATAACAAATGCTTCTTTCATCCTTATTAAATTTTCTTTGTAAGAGTGTTTTATGAATTTGGAAAGTAAACATGAAAGAGTGATCAGTAAAGTGGGTGGTAATTAGTGACTGTAGGAGTGAGCAGAAAAGTCTGCCAGGCTGTGGAACATTCCAGGAAGATAAGCCTACTATGGAAGCTCCTGGGGATGCTTCCTGCCCTTCACCCGGACTCCTGTTCCCACCTATGCTGCTACACAGCTTCATTCCTGCATCTGGGAACAATGCTATCACAGTCATTTAACTTCCACTTTAGCGAGACAGAGTGCTTTTAGACTTCGGTCTCAATGCAGGGTGTGATAAACCCTTTACCATTTGCTGCCCCTGCGGCTCCAACTGCGTGACTGTGCCCAAGCTCATTTTCAAATCTGTAACACACTAGCTTTTCTCTTTTGCCAGAAAACTAAGGGCATTTTTAATACCCAAAGTTGCCATTTACTTTTCCACTTGACGCTTGATGTGAAGAGTGACAGACTCCTTCCAAATTTTATTTTTTTACTTACAGAAAGCGTGGTAATGAGACTTCTTTCCTGGAAGGAAAAAGAAAGAAAACGAGAGAGGGAGAGAGGAAGAAGAGAAGTGAGGGGTAAGGAAAGGTAGAGAGAGAAGGACTAAAGGAGGGAAGAAGGGAGGAAGGGAGGGAGTTAGTGGCAGGTACCGCTTAGCTGATTTCTCAGGTTTTAGTTATTAAAGAAAGCAGGAAAGCTTTCCTTGGTTTGAAACGTTGATCTTTGTATAGCTTCACCACTGCTGCACTATATGCTGTGGAAGCGTGTCAAAGTTTCAAAGTTGTTTTAAACTTAAACTTACCTTGTACTGGGAAGTGAGGTTTTTCCAGTTGGAAGGCAGTGGTTACAGGTCGTGGAGGGGGGAGAGGTGGTCTGGGACACACGAGGGGCTCTTGGGAATTATTTTCAGGGTTGTCTCCAGGAATGAACACATACAAGTCATCGTACTGGTTCTCACTGTCACTGTCAGCCTCTGGAGGGCTGTGCTCTGCCTCCATGCCCGATTCATGCTCTTTTTCTTCCTCTGCCATTTCTTTCACTTTGGCTTCTTCTGCCGTCTGCCTGTAAGGCCAGCTTTTGTGGTGGAGAGCTGGGCTCTGTATGGCTGTTTATGATAAAGATTGTAGGATTTCATTTAAACACTCCATCTGGAGGCGGTTAATGCTTTGTAACTTGGTACAGAAGTGGTGTTAATATTAATTAAACTTTTATGAACTGATACAGGAGAAAGCTAATAAACGCGTAGTTTTGGTAAATAGCCATTATTGAGCTTTTAAAATATTTACCGAGAGAGCTCCATTACATCCTGCTACTTCAGTTTATGACACTCTCATACACATAATAATATGTAATATTCTGATATTACATATATAATAATATTCCAATTCTCTAGAGTTATTGCTTGAGCAGATTCAGTATATGACTTTATTACCATATTTTTAGTAGACAACAATATGACTAACCTAACAAGTAATAAGTAAGTTAATGGATAAGGTAAAGACAAGGAACAAAAATCTTATCTTGCTTATAAATACTGTGATCAAATGAGTCTGTGATTCTTCTTTAGTTATTATTTAACATTTATCACCAGATGATATCTTAATTCTTAAAAGTACTATTTGATAGGGTGTTGATATTTTTCCATTGGGAAGGCATCTAAATTACCAATAGTAGGTAAATATTTTTTCTACTTTTTAAAAATTTTTAAAAAAATTTCTACTTTTCAAAATTAAAAAAAATTTTAATTAGAGGATAATGCTTTACAATGTTGTGTTGGCTTCTGCTGTACAACAACCATAAATAAGCTATAAATATACACATATTCCCTCACTCTTGAGCCTCCCTCCCACCCCCTTATCCCATCCTCCTACGTCATCACAGAGCACTGAGCTGAGTAGGTAAATACTGTTAAGGCTCAGTTCTCTCACCAAAAAAATCTATTCTAGTCTGAAACTTAACCAAATGATTCGGGCAAATTTCCTCTACTCTAAGAATCATGATTCCATTATTTGTGTTTATACTGTGCACAGTAAATGCTCTCTAGCCACTCAGGAAGAAAATAGAAAAATACATAATGCAATCACTTTAAATCTTAAAACTTGTGGTTTATATTTTCTTTATATAAATTCTGCTCTAAATAAAATATTCACAAAAATTTGAAATGAACTTTGGAATCTATATTGGAGGGAAAAGGTGAATTGCTGTCATGAGTGCAATAGAAAAGCAAATAACTGTTGTTTCAAAGTTTTGTTAAACTAAAATACAGCTAAAGAAGATAAATGGCAGAGTACAGACAAAGAGGAATTTTTTTTCATATGAAGAGTTACACTGTAGACATTTTTTAGCAATAGGAGAAAAAAATCAGTCATGTGGGAAAATCATGTCCATGATGTTACTGCATATTTCTACATGAATTTTATTTTTAATTTCTCTCATTTTTCATGTGAGAAAGAAGAAAGGTCTAGCTGCCAGTATTAGAACTGATACCAAGATTTTTTAACCATTAGCTGGGGCAGAGCAGACGGTGTTTCGTTCTTGCACAGATCTCTGCACAGACCTCATTCATCTTTCTGCCTCTAACCCCAAACACAGCCTGAAATAAAGTAGTTTCTAGATATGCTGATGGAGTAAATGATGGAGTGGCCGAAAAGAAATCATTGCTCAGGCTAGCAAAAGGACTTCACTGTTCCTGTCTGGGCAAATCGATCATCAACTTAGAATTACATTCATGCTATAGGCAATTCCTCACAGCTACCTTTATGTCTACATGTTCAGTTTATGTATTCTATTTTGTGTAAACACTGTCTAAGCAACAGGGTCTCCTTAGTCCTTGTCAAATATGCCCAAACCTGGAATACAGCCCTCGAGAGTCATACATGGTGGGTCAGTGGGTTTTAGGAAAATTCACAGAAATAATGATACCAATGGAAATTTGCTGACTTAGGGTGTTCTATGTTTCACCTCTTCTCTAAGGAAAGAGTCAGAGGCTTGAGTCCAATCACACAGAATTTCATATCACTGACAGTTTCAGGTCCAAACAGTCTGTAGAAATGACGTTGTTCTGTACTAATAACTAAAATAATGTCTTATTATAGGTAGTACTTCTGAGAATTAAATGTCATAATAAATACATGGTCATTATCAATGATGGGCTTTACATCACTTTCATTACCACTAAAATGATAATAAATCATTACAATGATAATAAAATGTATAACTTTAAAATTTAGTGCATCAATTGATTACATTATCATTTAGCATGATTTTGTGTTCTGCCCTAGTATTTGAAGAGTTTACTGATTTTGCCAAAGTATGCTAGTTAAGGAATTGTATTTAATATTATTTGATTTGCAAGTCATTCCATCAGTTGAAAAACTGGTAGGCAGTTTTATGGAGCATCAACTGTGAACTGTTCAAAGTGCAAATGACCTGAGGTAAGAACAGGAGAATTTGGAACAGAAGTGTGATTAGTTCCTTCGTGAAGTACAGAATATTAGGGGCAAACAGGAAGGCAACGGTTTCAAGGTTTCTTAACAGAGTACTACTGGCATTTTTGAGAAGATATGTTTCCTGGGGCACGTCCTGTGTATTGCAGGATATTTAGCAGAATTTTTAGCAAAACTCCCTTCTCAACTCATGACAACAACAAAATCTCCATTCATTGACATGCAATCTCTGTTGGGAGTAGAAAACAGTGCTCCATTAGGAGCCACTGTGTTATTGCAACAATCCAGGGGAGAGCTGATGCCTGAGTGGACAGTGTGGATAAATAACAGTGATAGGGTAAGGAAATAGTGGCCGTATTGTGAAGGTAGAGTTCACAGTACTATTTGACACATTGGATGTCGGGTAGGAGAGAAAGTAAAAAATGGTGACTCCAAGTTTTGGGACTGAACTGAACAAGGAAGAAATCTTTATTTCCTGAGATGGCAGTGTCAGCAGGTAGAGTAGATTTGGGCATGATTGGGGGCTTTCAGATTTAGAAATGTTGAGTGGGAGATGCCTGTCAGACTAGCCCAGTGAGCAAGCTGTTGTGAACCAGTGGAGTCTGGCATGATGGGTAGAATTATGTACATGGAGGAAGATTCTGAAATAGTCTTCAGTTATTATATATAGAACTACATTCTATTACAGCCAGTGGGGACTTTAGAGAGACCTAGTGCAAACTTCTCATTTATTATCTGAGAAAACTGAGGTCTGAAAATAATGTGATTTTGTTTAAAAAAATTTAAAAAATATAGTTATTGCAGAACATTTATATCAAGCTGACTAGTGTACTTTCTTTGGGTAAGAAAAACTGCTGGTTTGGTTATTAAACACTGAACTTGTTAGAACTATTTAAATTAGCAAGATAATGTAGTAATATTTCTACCAGATGATATGCTCAAAGTCATTCCATTAATTAAATGTCTTCCAATGCTCTTTGTGTTTTTCCACACTCTCTTCAGTTTGACTTTACCAGTTACAAGTACCTTAATTTAAGTGTTATGTATATATGTAACATAGAGGAGCACTTACTAGGAGAACATGTAGAAAATGAGGTAATACCCTCTTCATGGTGACTTTCTTGCTCATTATCTTTGCTAACTTCTTGGACCTGAAATAAAGGAGTGCAATTTTCAATAACATGCATTAATATTAATAAATCTGTATTTTCAACATACCAAATGGAGAGTTGATACCTGTGAAAATAAGAATTAGTTTTTAAATTTTAATTTAAATACTTTGATTATATTATATATCTTAGCTATTATATTTGGGCCATCTATAATTTTTTCAATGACACATAGTATTAAAAAAGTGTAACTAGAACAATATAACATTCATAATAAACAATAAATATATTTTAAATGGAACTTCTTGCAATACTTTTAAGATTCACAGTAATAACTATGAAATGTTTACAATAGATAACTCCTGAATAAAACTGAATCGAACTATCTCATTTAGAAACCATAAACTTTGCTTCCTTTGAACATTTCTGTATCTTTTACCAGATCAAAAAATAATTAATTACATCAAGGATTAAAATACAGTGAAAGACAGTGAAATTTTAAAGAACTTTCTTTAAAAAGAAAAAGGAAACTGAGTAAAGGAATTGATGTTCCTCTTTCTTAAATCAGTTCCACTACAGCTAGAAGGGGGAATTACTGAGAAAGCATAGGAACCTGCTTTCTTTTCTCTGGAATTGCTCTGCTCAGTTCTTCAGTTCCTGTGTCCATGGGATTCTCTAGGCAAGAATACTGGAGTAAGTCGCCATATCTTTCTCCAGGGGATCCTCCCGACCCAGGGATGGAACCCTTGTCTGCTGTAACTCCTGCATTGGCAGGCAGAGTCTTTTACCACTGAGCCACCTGGGAAACTGGAATTGCTAGCCTTTGCTTATAATCTCTGAAAGAGGCATGAAGTCTAAATTACTGGAACACATTGGTGGTTGTAGAGAAAACTAAGTAACTCCAGTGACAGTTCTATTTGTACAAAAGCATGTTGAGAAAGAGATGGAGCTTGGTTGCATTAACATAGATAACATTTTGCTACCAAGAACTCCAAGTGATTATTCAAACAATTTATGCTTTTTTACTTAATAAAATTGATGGAAATGATTAGGCCGTTGCTCTACACTTTAAAAATTAGAAGTGTTCACATTAAAGCATTATTAAATTTATGACAGCCTTGGTATGCAAGGGTATCTGACTTGCATCATGATGTCATCAATTTGATTTGTTACCCACTTTGGCCAATGAGAGCTCAGTGGAATTTATTTTATTTGTTGTTGTTGTTTAGTCAGTTGTGTCCGACTCTTTGCAACCCCATGGACAGTATCCTGCCAGGTATCTCTGTACATGGGATTTCCCAGGCAAGAATACTAGAATGGGCTGCCATTTCCTATTCCAGGGATCTTCCCAACCCAGGGATGGAGCCAGCAGCTCTGCAAGTCTCCTGTATTGCAGGCAGATTCTTCACCACTGAGCCACTGGGGAAGCCAGAAGCAGCACAGTCTTTGCTTTCCATTGAAATCTTGAAACTAAAAAATCTCTTTAATGTTTTTATAGTGAGCTTGATGCAGAAGCTCATTTTCTTTTTTTATTGAAGTATTAGTTGATCTGCAATGTTGTGTTAGTTCCTGGTGTATGGAAAAGTGACTCTGTTTTTCATATACATATAACATGTATTTCACATTCTTTTCTATTTAAATCATATTTTCTCCTTTGCAGACTCAATTAAATGCTAATGTGAAAAGCCATGTGACTTTTCTACAGAGACTGACAAGTTGGTTGATGTCTGTATGCTCAGTATTAAAAGCATTGTTGATATGGCCATTTTTTATTTTCAGTTAGCCTGACCTCTATATTTCACAAAATAGATCAAGAATATATTTTTTAAAATCCATAGTATTAAAATCACACCAAGGAAGTTTTTACTAGTTGAGTAACAGGAATGCTTTTCAAAGATTTCAGGAATTATGTGAAAATTTCCTTTATTCTATTCACAAACCTAGACACCACAAGCTCAAAATCAGTCTTTTAATAAAGAGACTGTGGGAAACTGTGTAGGAGTTATGTCTGTGTGTGTCTGTGTGTGTGTGTGTACTGAGGTTGGAACCTAACGGAATAATTTTTACATTATAACTTTAGCTTTACGGCATTTATATAAACAAACACAAAAGCCTAAAAATGTCTTGAAGAAAATGGCTTCCAAATACAAAAAATAGCCAAATTTGATTGAGCACTTTCATAATTATTATGTAAAACTGGTATTTTGTATGATCAGGCTATACAGAAAGCAACTGTTTTCTCAGGAATGAAAGGATCTTAAGACTTATTTACACTAAAAAAATTGTGTCTTTCTATAATTCTTTACACTTACAATCATATACTTTGGAAAAATGTGTTATGTCTAATGACATATTAATAACTGGTAAAATCAAGGATGGCTCAAAAGTATGGTGGCATTCTGACACCTAAGCACTTTGATACTCTGTTATGCGGTGCAGAAGACAGAGAGTGGATTTTGAAGTCTAAGCTCTCCTCACACCTTGAGGCCACTTCCAGCCAGTCTCCCTAAGGGGTGACACTCAGGGCAGACAGCTTCTGGTCTTAGAGCCATCAGTTCTAACTACAGTTGTGAATTTCAAGCTTGGGCATCTGACCCTTTTAACTACATTCCAGCCCTATATGATAATGCTTGTTTCTAATCTATCACAGTTGTGATTGCATTTATGAGGTACCACCACCTTTACTGAACCAGGGCTTCCTTGGTCTCTCAGAATCTAAAGAATCCACCTTCAATGCAGGAAACCTGGATTTGATCCCCGGGTCGGGAAGATGGAGAACGGAATGGCTGCCCACTCCAGTGTTCTTGCCTGGAGAATTCTATGGACAGAGGAGCCTGGGGGGCTACAGTCTATGGGGTCACAAAGAGTCGGACACAATTGAGCTACTAACACTTTGACTTTCACTTCACGCATGGTTTGAATTCAGCCACCTTTCACTAAAATGTGAAGGATACAACTAAAATCCACTCCTTGCTTAAGGTTGTGGCAGTAAAAGTAAAAATGTTGTCATTTACAATTATGGAATCCAAAGTCTGAAAGGAACCTGTTCATACACTGATATAATGCTGAAACTATGTGTCATAACAAAACTGTAATAATTTGGATATTTATCCAACCAAGTTTGTTTTTAAATGTAGTCTATGCATAGAGAACAGCCTTGTGGTTGCTATGGGGGAGGAAGGTGGCTGAGAGTAGGACTAGGAGTATGGGGTTAGGAGATTCAAGTTACTATATATAGTATGGATACACAAGGTCCTGCTATATAGCACCGGGAGCTATATTCAATATCCTGTGATAAACCACAATGGGAAAGAATATGAAAAATGATGTATATTTATGCATAACTGAGTCACTTTACTGTACAGCAGAGGTTGGCACAACATTGTAAATCAGCTATACTTCAATAAAACAATTAAATATAATCTATGGTCTGCACTGTCCAGCCCTCTTTATAAACTGGCTTTTCCTGGTTTCCACACTTGTCCCTCTTCTCTTTTTACAGAATGTTTCCTGTCTGGGAGATCTTATCCATTGCAATGTCTTTAATTTATATCTCTATCATGATGATTCATAGACATGTAATTTGCTCCAAATTTTTCTGGGGTCTAGATTCTAGGATTCAGCAAAGGATACTAGAATTACTATTCACAGAAGCATAGGGAAAAACCTGGAGGGAGGGGGAAAATCAGGAGAGACTATACGTTCAATATTTTTGTCCCTTCAAAATTCATTTGTCAAAATCCTAACCCTCAAAGTGACTGTATTAGGGAGTGGAGGTTTTTAAGTAATAAGATCATGAGGGTGGGGCTCTGATGAATGGGATTAGTGCCCTGATAAAAGAGACCTCAGAAAGATTCCTTATGCCTTCCATCATATGAGGACACAGTGAGAAGATAGCTATGCATGAACCAGGAGGAGGGCCCTCACCAGATACCAAATCTGATTGCACCGTGATTTGGACTTCCCAGCCTCTTGAACTGTGAGAAATATGTGTTTGTTGTTTATAAGCCACCGAACTTATAATATTTTTGTTAGAGCAGCTTGAATGGCCAAAGACAGAGAATTTCAAGTAATCCTTGCTTCACCAAGGGTAAAAAAGGAAAGTCCTGAAAACAGTTTCTTTCTTTTTTTTTTCCATTTATTTTTATTAGTTGGAGGCTAATTACTTTACATCATTGCAGTGGTTTTTGTCATACACTGAAATGAATTAGCCATGGATTTACATGTATTCCCCATCCCGGTGCCCCCCTGAAAACAGTTTCTAAACATTTTAAATCAAGATCATTGGTGACCCTGGGGAGGGGAACTACAGTGGAACTGTGTGACTTTATCCTGGACTGAATCTTGGGGAGTAATATGGGAGTGAAGAATGGAGGGCATTATATATACAGAGTTTCCTTTTAGGAACTATGATGTGAGTAAGGGTTACAGGACAACACTGATTAAGATTTGTTTTTCAAACAATAGTTAAAGATGTCACTGAAAGAGTACATTACTGCAGGTCTTTTTTCTATTCCTATAATAAGAACAAAAGCATATACCAGACATAAATGTAAAGCTTTGCTACTGACAATGATAAAACCTTGAAATCAGTTTTAGTTTCAAAATCCTAAGTTAAAAAAATGTAAACTTCTGTAAAGGAAACACAAAATACCAGTATGTCAGAATTAGAAATCATTATGGTGTTTGGAATACTCCAATTATATCAAATTTTTTAAAAACATGCTTTAATTTGGAGTAAAACTAAGTAGAAGCTAAATAATGGATACATTTACATGTTTCCAAGTTGACAGATTAAGTCAGTGAAGAGGGAGCCAGGTTTACATTTATGTTGACTATTGCTAACAGCCATCTTTTTTTTTTTCTTTTTTTCTGAGCTTTTGATAATTTGAGTGAGGGTCAAAGAGAACCAAATGGAAAAATCCAAGCTGAGTAATAAAAGGTTAGCATTGTCATCATCACAGCATTTTATTTATTTCATTTATTTAAAAACAGAAAATCAAGTGGTTTCTGAAATCTAAGCCAGAAGCAAACATAAAACA